CCGGGCTGAGAGAAGAGACGGGTTTTGGTTCCTGTCTGGAGTAGGGGTGTCTGCAGTTTACTGGAGGTCAAGTTGGCAGAATCCTGGCCCCCGATGGACACTCGAGTGGTCCACCCTGTCACCAGCACATCTCTGCCCAGGCGCCTTCTTCCCTCACTCACTCTTGGACTTTTCCTGAGATTTTGCAGTTGTTTCATTCGTTCCAGAAGCTTCCACAAGTTCTATTTCCCCGTCACATTGTGCACCTTCTAAATATGGGGGCGGGGTTCTGGCGTCCCAGCATCCCAACACAGCATTCAGCAATGCAGTCATTGCTTCAATAAGCGGGAGCAAAGTCCTCTCCGGCCACCCTGGCCCGACCAGGCCAGGGGTGAGTGACCTCTGGATCCGGCCTCCTGGTGAGGGGAGGCCTGTGATGTCCACCGCGGGGGCGTCACGGGGGGGCCCGTGTGATCTCGGGCCAGCCCGGCTGCGGGAGGTGGCGGCCGCGCGGCGGGAATCCTGCAGCCTGGACGGCGCTGCCCGCTGCCCCACAGCGCCCTCTGCTGGCGGGTCCCGGGAGAGCCCGGCGCGGGCTCCCGAACGCCCATCCCGCAGGAAAAGCAGGCAGCTGGCATCTCACTTTTTTCCACGTATATTTTTTGTTGTTTTTTCTTTTTTTCTGTAAAATGTCCCGGTGCTTTCATAACTTATAAACATGATTTATACCGAGGGGTGAGCAGGAGAGGGCTGGGTGGGCTGACCGGGGACGGGCAAGCTCCTTCTCGCTGCCCCGCGGAGGGGCCGGCCCGGGGTCCTGGAGGAGGGGACTCCTCCCTGAGGTCGTGTGGCCGCCGCTCTCCTGGTCTCCACCTCGAGCGCCCCTTCCGGAACCCCTCCCGGGACCCCTGGGCGCGGCCCCGTGCTCGCCATCCTGGCGCCCCTGGGTTCGACAACCCCTCCTGGGCTGCTGGGGTGATGGGGCCCCTCCTTTCCGCTGCCCCCCGCCCCCAGGAGGCAGGGAAGGGAGGGAGAGGCGGCTGAGGCTCCCTGCGCGGCGGGCAGGGCGGCGGGGTCCGGAGGAAGGGCGGCGGCTCAGCCGATGGTCAGGCCGAAGCCGCACTGGAACTTGTTCTTGCGGTGGTTCAGGAAGGCCCCGAGCGCCAGGGTCAGTGGCAGCGGCGGCAGCTTCTTCTCCAGCGTGGCGCCCACGATCCAGTTACTGTCCACGGAGCCTGGCGAGTGTTGGGGGGGAGCTCAGGTCCCGCTGGACCCATGACCCCTGACCCCGCCAACCTAGTCACCCGGAAGCCCTGCACGCGAGCATCCTGCACCCCCGACTCCTCTTCCTCGGGGGCCCCACCCCCACATCTGGAACCCCTAGTCCAGCCCTGCCTCTGGCCCTTCTCTGGGATGGACCTGTCCCCTGTGTCCCCCAACACCACCCAACGCCAGGCTCAGCAGACTAGGCTGTTTGGGGACATGTAACCTTACAGGGTCAATTCTAGCTCCTAGTGTCAGGAGCTAGACACTCCTGCGGGGCGAGCAGAACTGCCCCAGAGCTCCCACTGCTGCCAGTCCTTCCAGAAGCAGATGACCAGGTCTTCACCCCTTCACCCCTGGAGGCAGCAGCTGGGGTCAAGGTATCAACCTCTAGGCTAGCAACTCAACGCTTAACACATCACACCACCAAGACACCTTGGGATCAGAGCAGACTGTCACAGCATCCGGAGCTGGAAGCCAGGCCAGCTACACCAGGGGTCAAGGAAAGCCAGCTTCTAAAGCAAACCACATCTGGGGTTCTAAGCTCTATCTCTGGGTCCAGTCCAGGCCTGCCTGGGAGGGTGGGGTGATTGTGTTCCCTCTCTCACACCTGCTGACACTCCCTTCTGAGGATGACAGACCAGAAGAAGCCGGCCTGGCTGGTTCCTCTCTAACGTCTGTGTCCCCATAACCCTGGGGTCTTGGTTCTTCCAATGTGAGACCAGAGAGGGTAGCCAGGAATGTGCAGGAGTGTCCTGGGCACCTCTGTTCTGATGCGCATTCCTGGGGGACATCCTGGAGGCCCTGGATACGGTCCTAAGCCACACCCACCCAGGGCTGAGTCACCCCAAAACTACCTTTGAAGAGGAGGTTGGCCTTGGGCAGGTCAAGCTGGTACCCAAAGGAGACACTCGTGTCCTGCATCCTCGTGCTGGCCTCAAACTCCACGCCCACTTGTAACTAGAAGGACCAGAAACATGACAGTCACCAGTCCCATCGGGGGACTCTGGGCATGCCACCCGCACAGCATCGCCGCAGCTCACCTGGTCGCTGGCTTTGTGGTAGTACGTGGCATGCATGCCAGCCTGGCCCAGTGTTACTGTCGCTAACCAGTTGTTCACTGTGAAGAGGGGAGGGCCGGGGGCAGGTCATCACGGAGACTTGGGAGTGTGTGTCCCCAGTCCTCTTCCCCTAGGTCCAGGGTCCCAGCCCCTCTGCCCCACCCTCAACTCCAAGCAATCCAAGACCCCAGTCCCCTGCCCCTCCCGGCCCTGCTCACTTGTGTATTTCCCAGCTAGAGACATGACAGTGCCCTCCTCCCCCGGCCGCCGGTGGTAGACCAGCTCTCCGCCCAGGGCCAGACACGGTGTGATGCTCTGGAGGTAGTGGGCCACGAGGATGCCTGTACAGAAATGAGGGGCACTGTGTCCTGACTTGCCCATCAGCTTCCACCCAGCCTCCACCAGGAGGCCCTATGGGCATGCCAGGGCCAACAGGCACAGGACCTGCTCCTAGTCCCTTCTATTTGGGGGCCACAGCCTGGAGTGCCCTCACCAGACCTGGTCTACAGAGGAGGTCACCACGGGCCAGCTGAGCCCTCAGCCCAGCTTGGAGCCTCGGTGTTGCTGTGCAAGCCAGAGATCAGGGTGATGAGGGGCCCATACAGAGGGACCCCAGAGCTCCACATGCTGTGCTGAGGGTAACCTCTTGGGATGATGAAGACAAAGCCAGGGATGCAGGCTGGTCGCTGTCCCAGAAAGAAAACGGAATCCAGAACAGAGATGGAGAGGCAGGAAGCTAAGGCTCTGGTGGAGAGGCACGTGGAGCCTGAGGGAGTGGAACCAGATGGTCCCCAATCACGGTCCAGGGGTGCGGGCGCAGAGAAGGGCTCAGGTGGCAGGGGCAGCGGCCCTCCACACTGGTAGGAGATGCCTAAGATAGGTCAATGGTGAGAGAATTCTCCGTGAGGGTGACAGCAGTGACTCCTGGTGGCAGGACTTGTGGGGCTGCAGCCAGACCTCATGGCCAGAGTCAATATATCTCCAACAAGTGACAGGCATCGGCACCAGACGCCCACACCTGTCAGCATCGCCCCATGTGTCACTTGAGGGGGAAACTGAGGCAGTGAGGAGCAGCGGCTGTTGGTCAAGAAATAAGGGCCGGGTCCTGGCCTCTCAGCTCTAGGAGCCACCCAGACCACCCTGCCCCCAGGGACCCCTTCTTCTCCTCACCACAGGAACCTCCCTGGTCTCCAGCCCCAGCCCTGACCTTCTCAGACGCCACACGCAGAACCCACCATGGCTCCCCAGTGCCCTCAGGGATGAGCCCCTCTGCAGCTACAAGGCCCTGTGGGCTCGGCCCTGCACACTGTCATCCAGTGACAGGGAGGAACCTGCAGAGCTGGAGCGGGGCAACCAAACATCTGCAGAGAACTACCCGCTGTACCTGGCTGCCTCTGCCCCGCTAATGGACAGACAGCAGCCCCCAGAACATGTGGGAGGCCCAGGCGGTGCGCAGACGGCCTGCAGCTTCCTAACTTGCTGGTTTTCCCATCACTTACCCAACCCACACCCCCAGCTAACAGTGGTGAGCCTCAGTGAGGCGGGAGCGTCATCTGGATGAAGAGGGACACCGCTCAGCACCCTGCACAGCCCAGGACAGGCCCCCCCCACAAAGATCAATGTGGCCCCTGGCGGCAGCTGTACTCAGGGTGAGGAACTCTGGGGTGGATGCTTGGCTGTTCCCTCAAAACAGCACCTGGCATTTCTCGCTGGATTTTGTCCAACCGGCCCCTACCCACAGGAAGCCCACACACACCAGAACGGACGCCGGCCCGGTCCTGCCATCGTCGCAGGCAGTCATCCTGTCACTGCTTGTTGGCGAAGAGTTGTCATCTTTTTGCGGACACTCCCTACACCAAGCAGGCCGTCCATAATCCCCAACAGTGACATGTCCAAAACATGCGATGGCACCGGCAGAACAGAAATCTGTCTCGGAGCCAGTGTGGCCGGAATGCTCCTTAACAGCCAAGATGAGGGTCCTCCGTTTTGGACACATTATAAGAGGGGGTACAGGGAGCTCTGCTGGCTTAGTGGTAAGGAACTGCGCTGTCAACACAAAGGTAGGCGGTTCGAATCCACCAGCTGCTCAGAGGGAGAGAGATGGGTCGTCACCTCCCATTGACTTCCTGCCTCTGAAAACTCACTAGAGGGTCAGCTGTGTGTTGGTTCTGACTCGACGGGATTCAACATCAGAAGGGGCTAGTCCCTGGAAAAGGACATCATGCTTGGCAGAAAGTCAACGTGAAAAGCAGATTAAAACGAGATGGGTTGGCGAGTGGCCACATGGACTCAAGGGCAACAGGTGAGGACGGTGCCGGGTTTGTTCTGCTCCGTGTGGGGCTGCTGTGAGCTGCAAGTGACTCGCTGGCCAGCAGGCAGATGCCACGAAGCTCAGCAGGTCCTCGGTGGGCTCCATTATTTGATAACAAATCATGGCCACCACTGCCAAAGACTGCACTTCCACAACACAGGCGCTGCATCCTTGCCGAAGAGAAGGCGGGAAAGATCAAAGAAGACACGGGCCAAGCCTGTATCCTTTTCCTGTACTAACGCAACCTTTGTGCAGAGCAAATAATCCAATTCAAGAAGTGTCATCAGAGCTGGAAGGAGATTTGTCAACAACCTGCGACACACAGATGACACAACCCTGCTCGTTCAAAGTGAGGAGGACAGGCAGTGCTCACCCATGAGGATCAAAGACTACTAGAACCTTCAGTACAGAGTACAGATTTCGGTACATCACAGCAAAGAAAACACAAGAAGTCAAGTGTCTTGCGGCATGAGACACATCACTTGGAAAAGATCTCTTTAAAGGGCTAAACTACCACTTTCAAGACCAAGGCATGCCTGAGTTGTCTCGTACGCATGTGCAAACTGGACAGTGAATAAGGACAACTGCCTTCACAGCTGGTCAATGAAAACGTGTTCTGTGAACAGGAGTGAACATGGAGAGCTCACCCTTGTCTCCTGTCACCAGGAACCGGAGAAGCAAATGAACTCAGACTCCTCAAAAGCAGAGAAGTGAGCCAGAGAGGCCCTGGGCCGACATGGCCTGGAGGGGGCCCAGGAGACAGGACACAGCCGGCAGAGAACGGCAGTGGGGAGGTGTGGGCGGCCACAACCCTGCCTGGCCAGCATACAAATCCGGCTCGGGGAAATCGCCTGGGGCAGGAATGGGGTCACTGGGGCAGAGGAAACCGGGCCGGGGAAACACCTGAAGGGGTGCTGGAGCTCTAGGCTCTCCCTCTTCACATGTCTTCAGACAGAGACACAGAGAGACAGGCACA